AATCAAAACCTCACGTGCAAATTTGGTTCTCCTTCTCAAGAAAGCTCTCTACGGCACCAAGCAGGCGGCAAGGTGCTGATGGAAGCATTTCTCGAATGTGCTAGCAGGTATGGGTTGCAGATATTGTATCAACGACCAGAGTCTTTATGTCTTACACTATAAAGGTCATACTGCTATGCTCTGGATCCACGTCGATGACGGTGTAATCTGCGGATCCTCTCTGGACATCATCTCATTCATCCACAAATCAATACTCAAGACTTTTCAAATAACTTGGAATGACAATCTCGAGCAGATTGTTGGCATCAAAATCAGCCATACCCCTCAGGGTATTTTCCTTTCTCAACCTCATCTTACTCAAAGTGTGCTCGAATCCACAGGTTTCACTTCATCAAAAACAGTTACACCTATGATAGCAAATCTTCAACTGGACTCATCAGACAAAGACTCCATTGCACTCAACTCTTCTTCATATCTTTCAGTACTTGGATCTCTGTCGTATTTGGCTATAGGTACGCGACCAGACATTTCATATTTGGTCAACTATCTCGCAAGATTCTCTTCAAGACCGAACGAAAGCCATTGGCTAGCATTGAAACATCTCCTTAGGTATATTAGTGGAACGAAGAATGATGGTATTTGGTTTAGGAAAATGTTAAACGGCGATGACTTAATTACTTATTGTGATGCGAACTGGGGGGGGGAATTCTCTCGGTCAACACATGGGTTTGCTGTGTTCTTGTATGGTAATCTGATCTCTTGGGCATCAAGGCGTCAAGGTTGTGTTGCAACATCGACATGTCATGCAGAATACATGGCATTAGGGGTTGCTGCTCGAGAATCAATATGGATTCAAAATTTATTAGAAGACGTTTTCAAACTGACTTTCATCACTACTTTGAAATGCGATAACACAGCAGCAATCAAGGTAGCACAAGATTTACATCTAACGAAGCGCTCTCATCATGTTGCAAGAGAATTCCATTACGTTAATGAACAGATTTTTGATGGAAATTTAAAGATAGATTGGATAGATGGACCGAATCAAAAAGCTGACATTCTTACTAAGGCATTAGGAAATGTAATTTTTCAAGTTCATAAAAAGAACATATGCATGTAGGATTACTAACCTCTAAAGGTTGAGGGGGGGGTGTTACGGCCTGGACTGGCTAGGCGTCGTAGAAGACAAGCCACTCAGCCTTTTCTCACCCTTAATCGGTTTAGACTAAGTTGGAAGATTCAGGAACATTGTGATCTGAACCGGGTTTCATCTTTTCTCTTTTCGTCATTTGTGAACGCCACGTGAAACGTGTTTTGTATAAAAGATTCTGTTTTCTTCCCTAAAGTTGTTGTCTTTTCTCTCGTCGCATTTTCTCATTGTTTCGGTAGATTAGAACTAACAACTAGTTCTCTAGTTCTTGTCCCGCTCTACAATCATCAGCCGTGTGCTGTAAACCGTGCCGTACATAGATTTGGGGTATTTTTATCCACAGACATTGACCCCAAACACATACTTAGCTTGGGCAACTCTCTACGTGCGAGTCAAAATAGGCCAAATATGGTCTTTTTCCGCTTGCACCCTAAATCCCTCTGTACCTCACTTCTCCCATAAAATCCGACTTCTACGATCCCACTCTCTGCAAATCACACACCTCAATGATCAACCAATCCATAATACATCTCCCCTATTATGCCACAAACCGTAATGTAGGGAACCATGGCTGTACATCGTTTGAAATTCATACCTCAAACCCTGCCCTAAATGATCTGTGCGACCCTCTGTACGTTACAGATTTACAGCACGGCTGGGGATGCTCTAAGGCACCCCGGGCAGATCAAGGTCATGCAGTGCATACAGGTTGCGCGGTCCTGAATGCATGTCTGGACCTGGTGCACCTGTCAGGCATGCAGGACTCATCATCCTGTATGCTCACTGTATCAGCCATACCAATCACATGTATTTGAGTACGTACTAGGGCTATGTCCCGGCGCTGGCCCCAACCACCCGAGCCTGCCTGATCACTTCTTGGAGGCAAGCGGTACACGCCCCGGGTCAGCTAAGCTTGCCCTACAGAGTACCAGGAGCCCCGCGACAGGCCCGGGCCCTCAGGGTGCCGGCCCTGGCGGTCTTGGTCCTATCTTCCCAATACAGGCCCAAAAAGGTCCTGGTCTGCTTGAAGATGCAGACGGGTGGTGCCCCGGGGCCGGACACGTTGTGCCAGGGCCGGGTCATAGCCCTAGTACGTACTGAAATGTACATGTCACATAGCTATAAGTTGCTCCCGCGGTCTGTATTGCACTGTTCTTGTAGGCCCCTCACACATGTCACTGGTATGACTGGCAGTGGTGTGCTTATGGCTGTGACCCGGACCCGGACCCGCCCCACTGACTCTGCCCAACAGCTCTCACAGAGCTGACGGTACGCGCCCCGGGCCTTCAAACCTCGCTGAATGACAGTAAGCTTTGCCCCGCAGAGGCGTCGGGCAGGTCTGGCACCCAAGCCGGACGAGGCGCCGGCCATGTTTCTGTCACGCTCACACCCGGCACCTTTTTCGTGGCCCAGGGCATGGCCGTGGCCATGGCCTACACCCGGTGTGGCCTGCCATGGTAAGGCCCTGACTAGCCAGGGCCTTACCGTGGCGCCACAATACCGCCCTGGTCTGCGGCGCGGATTTGAGAGACTGCAACACGCTATCAAGCGTTCACTGATTTCTCGATCTCCATCGATCCAAATCCCTCTCAATGCAACAATGTGACTCATCCACTAGCACCATTCACTCAACTTCAAACTCGATAACCTGCTTATGTACATCATCAATTAGTTTATGAAGGCTGTGATGATGCTGAATGTCCAAAACGGGTTCAGTCTGTCTTTCTTGTCTCTCTTTACATCAATTTCTCCACTTTTCATCTTACATCTTACGCTAACCGGATTTTCTGATCCTTTCCTTGTGGTCATCAACCTTAGATGAATTGGTCATCTCGATTGCCAGAAAGGCCAAAGCTTCAATCTTTGTATTTCCTGAAGACTCGGTGGAAGATTACCCACATCTAATATGTTCCCATAGCTAGCTTGATCTTTGACAAATCATAAATAGTTTGTATTCCAATTTTCTTAGGGTTCAACATTCATTGCGGCTTTAATGGCATCAGAAGAATAAAATGACAAATCCTTGAAGTTAACCTATAACGTTCATATTGATTTTTATTTGAGTGTAATGAACTGTAAGATTTTCTATTGTTGATATCTTTGGTTTGGGTCTTTTTACTTTTATCTCTTTGTAAATGACCTATCGAGAAAAGAATCAGAAGAAGGGAACAATTATGAAATAGAAAAATTTACATATGTCCATTGTTTGAAAAGATTGGGATATTCAATTGGTTTATTGTTGATTCATCAACACAAGTCAAAATTAGAGCTTTAAAATAGGGAACAATCCAACATGCTGAGGTTGTATGCTCTATCAGATGAACAATTTCTTTCATTTGCATCAGCCAGAGAACATCAATCATAGCTGCACTCGATTTTGGTCGCTACCCCATGCTTAAGCCTACCTTTAGGGGGCTTAGCTAGCCTTGAGGCCCTGCAAAGGCCACGGAGGGCCCATGGCCATGGCAAGGGCCATGGCCCTGAGGGCCCTGAGCCCCTCTGTGGCGCCACAAGGCTTTGTGGCTCCGGGTGTGAGCGTGATGTTTCTGTCAGCCATATCTCACCATAATCCGTATACAGGGTTGGAAGATCGTACAAAACCGTTATTGGACTTCTAGAATGCCCTGCATTGCCACTCTGGCACACCCTGGTCGGCCCTGCACATATTTTGAAGGTACTCGGGTCTACCCGAGTCCGGGTTTGGCCCCGGGGCGGCTCCGTCATACTCAGGGCCGGGTCACAGCCCTTGGTGTGCTACATGAAGACATGTCATGTAGCTGTGACATGAACCAGGGTGTGGGAATATATATTCTGTTTTCAAGCTACATGACCGCGCGACCTGCATTCACTCGATGACCTCACTTTGCCTGGGGTGAGGCCCGAGGGTAGAGGGTATTGATAAGATGAGTTAGTTTTCTTCCTATCTAGAGTTTCATGTAGGCTCAGAGAGATCCGAAACATAAGCTTGAATGGCGAGATCCTAAGACGGATTGATTTGAAAAGCTACATTTACAGTCGTTTTCAAAAACCTTGCCGAAATTTGCCCGCAAAACTCGAGCGATTTGGCGGTGAATTAGCGGCAAGCTTTTTGAAAACGACTGTACATATATTGAGAACCTAAGCAGCTTCAACGAAGTGGCCCACTTCAAGCATTCCCGACCGATTTAAGACTCCATTGAGTTGGATTTCTGCTCAATCTGCCAAGTTATGAATAATTTCTCTGTTCATGATCTTCAAACGCTCTCACCCATTGATACATCTGTTTGACTAACAAATTGCCTGTTACACACACAGGAAGGTTTTGGCATCCATTATAATTTATAGCTCGTTATGCTCGGTGAACGCAGCACACCACACTCGATATGCCGTTGATCCCTAAGCTTTCCTCAGGCACACTTGGACAAGTCAATTTTAGAGAAAGATACTAACGTCATGAAGATATAAAGTTATGATCTTCCTTGTAAGTCTTGATCAAGATGATAATAATAACTTGGGTTCTACTATTTCTGCGGTCAATGATCGAGCTTTGTGGGGATAATGATCTCAGTGAAGGTATGAAATCGATGCAGTCTGAAAAGGAAAAGTACGCACCAAGATATGATGGAAAAAACCGATTCAAAGAGATGATAACTTAAATTGGTTTTATCCGAATCCATCATCCCAAATTGATTTCTATTAAGCTTCCTTACGCGCTTTTACAATTTTCTTTTAATTCAAGCTTCAACTTCAAATGAGAGAAGATTGGTAAATCAAAGAGGATGATAAGTGTTGGTTTTTTTTTTTTCAAAGGTGTAAATCGATGGAGTGAGTTGAGAATTATCTAGATCTAGACTGATATGAAGATTTTGATGAAGACTGAGTTGAAGTCAGTAGCTCAATCGAAAAGAAAAGAAAAGAAAAGTTGAATGATGATTCTCATCTTTTCATCCATCTCATCGTCATCGTCATCATCATCATCATCATCTCACTGCCTTGTTCATCCCGAAATTGATATCCTCTTTATCAGGCCGCTTAACTTGGATGTACCAGTGGCAGTACAACCATCAGATACCGTCGATTCTGTTATCTAAGCCATTTCACTCATCATCGATCATCACATTCACCACTCTATCTACGAAATCTCAACATTGGCTAGCTTTCATATCGGACACTTTTCTCTTTAGCCTTCTCACTCGTTTATGATTTTTTTCAAGCCGGTTAGCTTTGATCCTTAGTTTACCTTAGACTATATTCCCATCATTGAAGATATTTTTGGATGACTATATATATGTAGACCATCTTCCGTTAGCTTGGCTCATTTCTTTCCCATTCCACCTGCTTCCTTATCATCTCTGTTTGCCAAAAAGGTAATCATCAATTATTTGATTTAATTTTACACTTGCCCTACCGCCCATCTGCACCAACCTTTGAAGCCCTTTCAGTCTGAATCTCACCCTTTCATACCTTTTAAGACTCTTCTTTCATTCAACCTCCTCATCGCACTTACATTCTTACCACTTTAAGAATCTCATCTTCTTTTATTACGGACCTGAACTCAATAATTAGAATTAAATCATAACAAGATCAAGATGCAAGGAAAACAACGAACATCAAGTACTCCTTCTTCAAGTTCGAGTGTGCTACCATCTTTTTGGAATCGTTGGACTAGATTATCTTCTTCTGCTACTAATTCTCCTCGAACTGAAGCTGGTTCGGCGAATGGAGAAGAAGGTGTCTTTAACACACCCTTACGAAAATCTAATCAACCCAATCTACAATCACCTCAAGATACTGAATTTAGTGATGATGATGTTAATAGTTTATTGATCACTCCATCAGACATCAATCGAGCAAGTTTTCCAGAACCTAAAAATACTAATCAATCTACACCATCACAATCATCTGGTCTTTATTCACGTCTTAGACCCTTAAGAGGTGGAAGTCTTTTTAGTTCATCTCATAATCCTACACCTGAAAGTCTTCGATCAATTAGAAAACGTCGTGAAGAGGCAGAAGAAGAAGAAGCAAGAAGACCGTATAGAGGTCATGGTAGAGAATCTAGTATATTAGCTAGCTTTTTAAAGAACAATGGAGGTTATATGGACGATTCTGAATCAGAAGATGACGAGTTTACTCCTCCACCTATTCTTCAACGTTTACCACTTACCGGAAGCCGATTATCGGTGAAACCCCCTACTACTACTACTACTACTACTACTACTACTACTACTTCAACACCATCAAGAACATTAAATCGAAATCGATCAGTACATACACCAGTTAGATCTGCTGGTCCATCTACACCTACTACCATGGGTAGAATTCAAATGATGACTCCAGTCCCGGCTAGTAAGACAAGAGCTGAATTGATTGTAGCTGAAGAGAGAAGAGCTTGGAGAAGAAGATCAGAAGGGCAAGCTTTGTTTAGAAGTTTAGTTTTAGGTGAAGATGATATATTAAGAGCCATTTGATGATCTCATGTGAGTTATCTTTCTATTGTCCATTTGATCACTTTATGTGACTTATAAGCTGATTTTGTTTTACTTCGTCGTAGATTGATCGTTCTAATGGAACTTCAAATCGCGATTTCAACTTATCTAGCTTCGGTGTGATTGTTTAAACTCGATCCTTCTAATCATTCTCATTTTAAATCCAGAGACATCAAATCACCAAAAACTTCAACTAATCACAACTCCGATCATACGTATACTGAAAACAATAAAAAGAATCGACCATTGCTTTCATTCCGCTTGTACACGATCAATCTGCTCGGTTTTGTTTTCTTTTTCATCTTTTTTTATCTCTCTTCGTTCTTTCAAATTGTTTAACTTTTCCTTTTTTTCATTCCTCAATTTTTGACTACTTTTGTACTAATCTAAAGATATATAAAGAAACGGACTTGTTTTTTCTTTCCTTTTTAATGTTTTTTTTAATTTATCATATCTTACCAAAAAAAAAATTCATTCAATCTTGAAAGAGTTTAACCAATTGGTGTGTGAAAGTTAAGGGAAATTGAATTTATGTATGTGGTTTGCTTGTGTGATCACAAGGCGCCCTGTTTGGAATGTTTGCCAATCATAAAATCTTAGGTCTTTTATAAAAGATTGTCAAAAGTTGATAGCTGTTGAGGTTATGATACACATACACTTCAAGCTCACTTTCAGTTTAGTTCATCACAGATTTTTTGTAGCAACTTGAAATGTCTTGCCTCAAACAAGCTGTGATGAAAGTATCAGTGAAATGTCAACTTGAAAACCCTAATGTTTTACTGATGATAGAATTCTTTACACAAAGCTTTGGTTTTGAAAGATACACAAATCATAACTCAATATAAATGTTGAACCAATACAAACCATTTGCCAGTGACTCATTGTGTTCATCCTAAAAATCTAACCAAGTCAAAAGTTCCACTTCAAGTATTTTCCACTCTGACCTACTTTCACTCTTACTCTAACACAACTCACCTAGTTGCCCCTCAAAGGTTTCTTAGCCCATCAATTCTATTGGCTTTTTCCCTTCCAATCCCAAACTCATCCCACTTATGGTGCTATTTGTGGTGTCTCATGCCTAAGCCTCATCACTTTGTTTCTTGCTCTTGACATTGAAACAGTTGAGTAGAAAATGAGAAACAAGCTTGAAAGTGAGTTTTAAACTTCCAAAATAGATGCCTAGGATTCATGAGAGCATTTTTGGAGGCAAAGCCCTGGACAGACCTTTCTTCAAGGTTTTTATCCAAGGTATTCTTCTGCACTAAGAATTACCTTAGGCTTGGATCAAAACCCAGAATGATTCTGGCTGCTGTGAAATACAAATTTGGCAGTGGTTAGAGACAAATATCTATAAATAATTTATACTCCTACAAAGTTACTCAAATCAAATTTTTTGGAACAATACTCACCAGGTTCAGTATGAACAATTCTATTAAAGTTGAGTTTTTTGAACTAACAGTAGCTCATTCACCATTACCTAGGTAACCTAAGTAGGCAACCACATTTTAAACCAGTTTATGAAAGATTTGGATGAAGAGAGAGTTAGAGATGAAAGGAGAGTATGCCAGATTGGTAAAGGATGGTTGACAGTGACAGTTTTCACCTATTTGTAGTTCAAATCTAATCACAAGAATCTTGTTACCTTGTTCATCATCTGGAATCTTTTTATTAATTTCATCTGAGTTCATTTCATCATCTCCACACTCTTGTCTGTCTGGAATAGGTTAGCGTTTAGTAGTCTTTCTTATTTGTCTTCTCAACTTTTGTTCATTAGTATTGTCTTCATTGAGTGTTCTTTGTCTCAATCCCATTAGTTCCCTGAAATAAAGTTCTGATTGAACTTCATCTAAAAGTTGTGCATTAAGAAACAAATAATCTGAAATCTTTTTATTACTTTCATCTGGGTTCATTTCCTCACATCCACATTCTTGTCTGTTCAGAATAGGTTTGAGTGGTCTTTATCTCACTCTCATAAGTTTCTTGAACAGATTTTTGATTGAAGTTCATCTGAAGTTTCACAGATTTGACTCCTCTTACTCCCAATCCTAAACTCTATTGGGCTACTGATGAAGAGGTTCACAGCTTTTCTCTACTCAACCTCAAATATAGAAGTGATGTGGGTTTACTTGTGTACCTTTCCCAGTTCACAAGACCTGTTCTAGCACATGCTGTTGGAGGTATTCTCAATATTCATCAAATTGGAGTTCAACACTGGAATCCCCCCCTTCAAGTATTCAGGTACCTCAAGGGAACTATCTGCTTAGGCATCACCTATTGTGGCATGTTGGACATGAAAATCTTTGGACAGAGAAAGTTTCAATTATCCTGTCCCTCACTGTAATACTGACTGGGATGGCGACAAAAGCACCAGACCTTTACCAACAGGCTACATCCTCACATCATCTGGGGATTCTCTGTCATGGAAATGTAGACTACAAGCTATCATTGCTGTGTATTTGACAGCAGCTAAGTGCCGTGCTATCACAGAATCCAGACAAGACCTACTTTGGCTTATGTGTCTGATGGATTCCTTTGGTTGCTATCTGGGAGTGATACATCTAACTAAGTCCAACAAATCAATTTTCCATGGTAAAACTAAACATATTGAGATCCGGTATCATTGGATTCAAGAAGTTGTAAAATGGGGTGATGTATCTCTGCTAAGTGTGTCCCTCCACCTTCAAAAGGTTAGTATATTGCTTATGCAGGTGTGTGTGATAACCATGAAGGAAATAGATTCTAAAGTTTTTATTCTTTTAATTTTCCTTGTTCCCTTGTCCAGATTTTTCTTGAGCTTAGAGCTCTTTTTTTTGTAAGCCAGTGTCATGTCAACACCAGGGCTAAATGTGTTCTCCCACCTTTAAAAGGTTTTCTGTTGTAGATCTACAGCATTGAGCTTGTAATCTTTGTTTTCTCACAACTTGATTTTAACAGATAAGATCTGTGTTCTGGTTCACAATTGTGATACTGTGCAAGGGTGTAAATGGGTAAAATGGCTCCAGAGTCCAAGTATTACCATGGTTGCTGTGATTGCAAGTTGGCTGTGAGTTTGAGGGAACTGACTGTTTAGTACTGGCCAATATATAAATCTCTGTGACTGATATCAATCAAAGAACAAACCTGCTCAAAGTGATGAAATAGAGATTGGTAAGTAAAAAAAGAATATACAACATAGTCAAGACACACTCTTTATATACCAAATACATCAGTTTCAGAAGAGGTCGCAGCATTCACAGCAAGCTCAGAAAACACAACTAATGATGTAATAACTAATCAAATATGATATCATAACATATAATACAAGAAATTAATAATTAATAAGTAATGAATAAATATGAGATTAGAAAACCAGGCATATGCCTATACGTCAAACTTCAAGTGTTGATGAGGTGTTTGATGGGGTGGCAATTGTTGGGGACAGTTGAGTGTGCGGAGCAGATTGGAACAAGGCGGATTAAGCTCAATCCAACAACTGACTACGGGTAACCCGCAAAAGCAACAAGTCTGCCATTTGTGAACCTCGCAGTCTTCAATAGTCTCATTTGGTTAACGGAAATCAAGACATTTTCAAAATACTTGGCCAATGCTCATTATATATGCTTTAACTTATCCCAAAGCAGTATGTGAGAGTCACAACATGATGTTTATTTGTTGATCTATGTCTAGAGAAGATTACTTTATAAAGAGCTTTTCTTTGCATGTAACTTTTGTTCTGTACTCAAAAATCATCATCTTTTTATTTGCCACCTTCCAACAGGTGCATTTCTCTTCTCATTGCTCATACATGATTCATCAGCCTTAGCACTCTGAATCTCATCCATCACTAATTTGTGATTCTTATCAGATCACCTGTACATTCCCTTATGTTATTCTCATCACAAGATACTTTTGTGCCTCCTGATCTACCAACATATGCTTTTCTTTGATTGGAATTGGTTGTACATTTGTGCGATGGTGCAGACGTTCGGCACATGTCAGATATTCATATACACCTCCATTGGTTTCAGCATATATACGTGCACGCCACTGGGGCCCATGACCTTCCAAAAATCTGAATGTAGGGTTTTCTTCTGTCCAGGATAACTCCAACTGCCCATCGATTTCGCAGATTTGGTCTTTGAACAACAAGAAATTTGTTGTTTCCACAGCAATAAGACCTCTAACTCCTGCTAGTGCCAGTAACGTCGAAAGTGCATGTCGATTGAAAGAGCAGAGTCCAACCATGATCTGATAAGCATCCATGTTTTTGAGTCCATCAGCTACCATTTTAAATTGTACTTTAATTAATTTTCACCCACTAGATTTTGATTAGCAGTTTACTGGGCGGGGCAGCTAAAAATAAAGAAACAGTCTGTAGGTGGTCTTCTACCTGATCACTCATAAATGCTTAGCTCAAATCATCCAAGATGATTGACTTTCAGTGGGATGAAAATGCCTCACCTCCTTAATTGATGTGCCTTGAGTTAATAATACTTGACAGAGGCCAACGGCAGGCGTCAAGTGCGGACTTTAGGTCCAAAAACAAAGAACAATGGCAGAGGAGGAACCAACTTGGAAAAGCTGTCTCCTTGGAAGTATTCAAAGACAGAGTAAGGGTGAGGTGGGGATTTGAAGGGACCCAAAACAACCGCTACTTATATACTCGCAAAAGTTTTCTGACAGTTTCGGCGACGATACATTCTGTATTGCATGGTTCAGTGTTTTTGGACCCATAGGCTATCAATCGCTACGTAGTCTGGCCTCCTAAATCTGCCGCAGATGCACATTCCTTGCAAGATCAATCATCTTGGACTTACAGTGACTCCAACCATACATACGACACAATCTGGTTGAGCCCGGGGGGTCCACGCAATGGTATCGAGTGTACTTTTGCTGTGTTTGTTCTTGAAACATGCGGGACTGTGAGGTAAAGCGGGTCCAAAAACTGTGCAAAAAGGTGACATCCTTGTTTCCGATCATCTTTCCTGGTGTGGTTTGGGCCCAAGGCAATTCGGATTTCCACCAAAAGGCAACATAACCTTTGGGTCCGTAGGAGCCACTCCAGCAGGCCGACAACAATATCAGACCTAGACCTTCGCCCCGGCCCCGGAATTTCGGGGACTCCCCGCGTCCCGACCCCGCGAGGCCGGGATGCGGGAGGCAATTTGGAACAGCAAATCCCGCGGGGAATTGCGGGGGCGGGATTCGGGGGCGCAGGGAAATCCCCGCACTCCCCGCAGATTGGAAGACCCTCTGGGGGGGCAGATGGAGGTGGTTTTGAATTGACAAAGGGGTACATTTTTGTACTTTCAATTTCATAATACTCATGTTTGTAATTAGACTATTTCACTTATCAATGCTAATCATCGAGGCCATCAAAAAAAACTGGCCCAAAGGCACGATACCATTCTTTAACACAAAGAAGACGTTCAACGGTAGCAGGATGGAGTGCTGAACTCTGATGTCGGAGGACGGCACGGCCTTCAGAGCAGACGTGCTCAGAGGGGCAGCTGG